GAAAATATGCCAAGTATTGCACTGGCCCAGCCGGCATTCTTCCCGCCCAATTAGTGCGTATTCCAATTTGTGGTTCTGGCCAAAAGAAAAATGCTTCGTTTTTGAGCAAATTGATAAACTCAAATATAGCCGGTCTGCCATGGCAACGGTAGCTGCTCCTTCGGTCTTCGGTCTCCGGTCTTTCGCTCCTTCGGTTCCTTGTGGCCAGCACTTAGTCATTAACAATCAAATCCACATGCTCCGTTGTCAGTCGCATCGATTGGCAGAGATTTATTAAAATAATTCGCTTCACAAGATCCACTGATGATGTCGAGCTGCAGTTGGTCAGCCAGGTGTTAAGACGGCTTTTGGGCACCTCATCCGGTTGGCTAAGTAGACTGAATTATTCTCGACAGGCACTGTTGGTTTTGCTGAAGCACCACATTTGTTTCGTAACATTTTACAAGAATTTTTAAAACTAATTCATTGAAAGGGGAAAAGCAATCAGGATAACAAAAAATGTTTTCAAATGTTTGGTGAGCTATAGCTAGGATATTACCTTTAAAAAGCAGCTTAGTTCGTTATTTGTTGTACATGGGGTTACAAAAGATATACCATAAGGTGTGTGAACAAGTTTCAAGCAAGGAAAACTGAGACTGAGAAAAGCACCAGCTCTTCTTGGCTTAAAGCCAGCGATTTTCCAATTTGGTGTAGCGTAAATTCGATTGAATATCGTATTTATTTGGCTTGTTCGCTGTTGGCTTAAATCGATGCCCGAGGCGAGGGCCACAATCCCACTACCACATCCGCATCCACTTCCGCACGAGCAGCGGCGGGACAAATAAAAAAACGACTCAACACAACACAACACACACAAAACAGAAGGGAACAGAACAGGACGGCGGGAAAAAAAGGGTTAAAACAATAGAAATTGTTGCCGGCGTCGGAGGAGTTCGGGAAACACAATTCCTTATATGTTGCATGGTTTAATGCCGCCTTTAACGGCCCGTTCAGCTGCTGCTGCTGCTGCTGCTGCTGCTTCTGCTGCTTGGGCTTTCCTGGATGGCTTTTCCAGCCATCCCCAAATCATTATTGCAAAAACAGCTCCTTTTTACTCGACATTTTTCAACCCCGCCCAAATCCGGCGGCCCGGACATCGAATCCTTTCGTTCATAAATCAAGTCTTTGGTTTAATTAAATCTTGTGTTGGCGGTAAAAACTCGAGCACAACAAAATGCCGGCTGCAGCAAAAAACAAAAAAAAAACAACAACAAAATAAGAGCAAACCAGAAACAAAAAAATAATCCAAATATCCAGGAGCCGGAGCCAAACGCCTCCGGTCTTTTGGCCAAGAATATAGGAGATGCCAAATATTTGCACAGTCTGCAGGATATGGCTGGGAAAATGGAAAATGGGTGCCGGGAAAAGCGGGAAAAGCGGGAAAAGCGGGATCTTTTACCCCATTGTCGACTCGTCACGTTTTAACTGTCGTCGCGGTTGTCCCTTTCATATTTTCCTTCGCAAACTCATTTCCTTTTGTTGGTTTTGACTTGTTGTCTAACGTTCTTCGTTCTTTTCAGCTGGCCAAATGGGAATGGAAAGTGCTCGACGCATCTGCAAGCTTGAATCTATTGAATAAATAGATGCACACATACATTCATTAGCAAACTGATATCAATAAAATGTTGATAATAATTATTAAATGTTTTCCAAAAAAGACTATGCATCTTATTAACTTGTGTGCTTTGTCAGCTGATTACAACTAACTATTCCCATTTTTCTCAGTGTCCACATAAAACGCATGCCAGACAATTTCAAAAAAATTGTGAAAGTGAAAATTAAAAAGACAGGAGGACCTACCAAATAATGTTTCGCTGCCCTACTGTTTGTGCTCTTGTTTTCCCCTCTTCTCAAAAAATCGCATGGTTCTCGGTTTTGCAGGCCTTGGCGGGAAAACCTTGAGCACTTAAAGCCCACTTAATCTTTGGCATAAAAACAAACGAAACAATGTGGAAAAGTGCCGAAAAGTGCGGAAAAGCGCGGCTAGGGGGTGGAAAATAGAGCGGGCGAAGGCGGGAAATTGAATGCAAGACACGTTGCAGGATTTATGGCCAAGGAGCAGCCGCCGAACGCAGACTAATAAACAGGGTTCCAAAGGCGAGGGCCAAAATTAAAAGTCCCAAAGACCTGGAGGGGTGGAGGGATGGAAGTCAAGTCCTTGGTCAAAATTGCTGGGAAATTATAGACAATATATACATATATACATATATATATATATATATACGTGTACGTACGTGAGGCGATGTCGGCGAATCCTTTCCCTTTTTTGGCCTGATTCGGTCGTGCGGCAGGCCAAGCAAAGCGAAAGATGAATGAAATGAAACGAAATGAAATGGAATCCTTTACCGTAAGAATTTCATGCACGTCAACACGTCCTGGCAGCCAGGACACTGCCGTTGACAGGCGCAAGTCCCCATTCTCCGGGGCCAGGAAATCCGGAACCCGAAAAACCGGAGAGAAGGCTGTGTAACGATTTCTAATTCATATGTTCCTGAGCCTGTTCCCCAATCCCGATGATTTATGATCCGGGCACGCGAGTCCCGAAATGAGTGTCCTGTCCACAACTGAGGAAGACCTAGTGATGAGCTCGTGACACGCTTGATTCGATACGCCTGGATATTTCTATTCGATATTTCAAGTGATGTGATTATGATTGGACAACTCAAAACAAAACTAAGACAACTAAGTGTATGCAACGACAAACAGAGTTGATTACCAAAGTTCTGACTAAAATTAGGTATGTATGTTTAGAGAATTTAAAAGTTTAATCAGTAACTTTATTTTTTGTTTGAACTTTAATTTTAATGGCAACCCTGTTGCTTACTAATTTACTGAAAGATCCCAGACGTGAATTTATGTATGTTAGACACATCCCTAGAACTCAGTTGTGGGAGCCTTTAATCATTCAATAGGCAATTTGTTTGGACCGCTTGGCAGCATCGAAATGAAATGTTTCACACATTGGGCCGGTCAACGGTCAACTACTTGGCCAGGATGGCAGTCGCAGTCCACCGGAATTCGGAGTCGGAATCTCCGTCTACTATATTTAATATCATTTATCTTTCTTACGCCCCCAAAATGCGGTTTGTGGGTGGGTGTACGGCGGCGGGAATGAGGGGGGCCGAGCGTGTTGTTGTGATTTATGATTATCAAAGTATTTGTTACCTTTGTGTCCAAATTATTTGCTCGCCCATAAATCATTTTATCCTTGGACAGCCATCGCCATCGCCATCGCCACTTTGATTAATTTTCCTCAATTGCCGCCCGCGATTGGCGCCTGCGATTTTCGAAACGCATCGGGTAGTTTTGGGTCCGAAGACAGACCGATTTGCTTGATATGCCAGACAGCGCCTTGGCACATAATTCATACAATTGGTCAACAAGTCACCGGCAGGACCGCCACCCTCCCCCACCAAGGACACCAATCAACCTCCCATCAGGGGTTATCCTTGCAGCTCGCCGACTGTTTTTCTAATCCTGAAAGCAAACGCGTCGAGCACCATGGATTGTGTACTTATTTTGCCATTTTCCCTGGTCCTACAAAATATTACAATATATTTGGCATATGTATGTAAGCATCAGAAATGTGTATGCAAAATAATACAACAAATTAGTTATAAAATGCCAAAAATGACATGGCAAACTCGCTGGATTTTCAACCAAAATTAGTAGTTTCTGCAATTGCACAGTTCTAAATTTGTTTAGAAAATATATGCTTTTAAATCGGTTGGAAGTGGTTCTAGTGTTTTCATGTCGCTTACAAATTTCAATCAGTTTAACCAGTTGCAAAAGTCCCTTCAGCACTAGCATTTACCATAATCCTGTTTCGATATTCGCCATTTGATTAGTGAACAAGCCTTGCCCGCACTGAAAAATGTTGCCGCCTTATCCAGAGAACCTGCTCCAATCAATGGGCGAAAATCTTGAGAGATATCTTGAGACTTGGCGGCAAATGAATTATTTATTTGGATTTATTTGAGGCCGAGCAAAACAAATGATGCGGACCAACAACAACAATTGCTGGCTGACCCGAAAAAAAGTGAAAAACGCGTGGAGTAAGGGCCGCAGCAAAGTGAAAGTGAAAGTGAAAGTGGCATAAATAAATAAAGAGCCGAACACAAAGCATATTAGGCTAAGCTACTTGCGATTTCCGTTACACGTCCGTCCGGGCTATAAAAATGCGGAAGCTGATTAGCCTCCCCCACCCTGCCACGCCCACATCGCCGCCCACCGGAAAAGCCGAGGAAAAAATGAACTCGCAAGAAAGTCCAAGGGATGGTCGAGAATTTTATGAGGCACGAAAATTTACAACGCCTCTGGGGTTGTCTTCAAAAACCCAAAAACCCAAAGCCCAAGATGGGGACAAAGTTAACAACAAAAAAAGAAATGGAGAAAAAATGGGGAAAAATGGTGAAAAGCAGGCAGGACCAGGAAAAGCGGGGGGATATCGAGACAAAACCCGGGCGAAAAGAAGTTGCCAAGTCTCATAATCGAAATTGGTCACAGGTGGCCCGGGTAGTTGACCAAAGAGAGCTTATTGAAATTAAATGTGCTGGCCGGCAGATAATGCCCGTTTAAGGCTTGTTTAGCTAAGTTGAGTTTGATTCGGGTGACCGTCCTCCTCCGCCTTTCCACCGATTTTCGTTGTAATTTATGGCGATGGCTAGATGTCTGGGCAATCAAAGTGACCCCTGCCCCCCAACCGTAAATGAAGAAAAATTACCAAAAAAAAAAAAAAGAAAAAAATGTCCTGTGTCCCGCTGAACTTCCATCAAGTCGTGACGTTTCCTTTGACTGGCTAAATTTTTAATCAAATCAAATGACAGACATCATTAATTTTGCTTCAGCTGAATTTCTTAGCAAAAAGAATGCGTGACGATAACAAAGCTCAGCAATTTGGATGTAAAATAAAATGCAAAAATAAAATGCTAATTAACGCATCATTTCAGTGATGCTTTTAATATATTTATGCGCTAACAGTAGGACCGTTCGATAATACAGTGTGCCCATAATGCATTGGTGATGGCATTGGTAATGCTAATGGTATTGGTATTTTGGAGTTGGTCAACAGAAATCGCATATATTACATGTTCTGCATGCTAGTAGCCTGTAGCTGGTCTCGGATCGCTAACATGATGCAGCGCAGAAAGTCCAGTCTAATGCATTCCTGCTCCGACTTGGCAATTTGTAGGTCCAGGTATCCATGTATTTCCTGTTGGAGGCGCTGGGATTCTATGTCAAATCCGTCCAAGCTCTCCCCATCCGACTGGATCGAGTTTAGTTCCTCCAACATCCTATCGACGACACTACTGGTCTCGGAAGCGATGGCTATCAAAGAAGAACTCTCCGAGAACTGCGAACTCTCCGACTGCTGATCCAGGTCCTCCGCCGTCATCAAGAACTCCATGTTCTCAGTTGGTTTTGCATTCGGGTTCCACTTCTCTGCCATGTTGGTATTCAGTTGAGCTCTGGTTGTAGTTTCTCCGACAAGTGATAAAATTAAATTGGACTAAATATTCTGACCTTATGATAAGTGTCAGGACCGCCAACTTGATCGAAAATCATTTGAATTTTTAAATGTTTTCTTTTAATATTTGGACAGCTCATATATACAGATACAGACAGTAGTGCTGTTGCAAAACCCATTTTCTGAAAGTCAGAATTTTAAAATACATATTTAATTCATAATTAAACAATCTTTAGGACTGCATACTATAAACTAAAAAAGATGGCGCCACGACAAAGAAATAAGCTGTTAAAAACAGCTGTTCGCGTGCAATGAACGATAAGCTCTTCCTCTGATGCAAATATTGTAATATCTTTGGATCCAAAGCGCTATTTCCCATTCCGTAAAAAGCATTTTGACTTGTATTAAGTGTTTGTAGTAATAGCATTTTTTTGATTTTTCAAAACGGAATTAAAGTATTTAAAGCATTATTTTGCCAAAACAGAGTTGTACCAAAGACATTACAATAAAAAGATGCGTAACGGCCACTTTTTTGGTGTTGGCAATTACTTAAATATAGTTTAACGTGTTTATGTTTATGCTTAACATAGGAATTATCACTCATTTGTTTCATTTATGAGATAGAATAATGAGTTTCGTTCTTTTTTCTATCTGCTACCACATTTATAAAATAAAATCAAATATGCAACCTGTTTATTTCAAAATGGAATTCTTGAGGCAGGCCCAGCGGACATAAGAATAAGACAAAGAAAGAATCTAACGTATATTTTTTCACGTCGTAAGCTGGACGACAATTATTCTAGTATAAAGTAATTTATGATATTATTGAGGTGTTATTATGAACATTTATTCATCTATTACTATTTTTATGATGTATTAAAATTATCATGTTAAGGCAATGTAAAATTAGAGTATTTTACATGGTCAAATCGGCCAAAAATAATATATAATATATTTAATTTTTGTCAAATTTACAATACATGAGCATACATGTGCACACAGACAGTGATCGGCTGTCGCTGTATGCGTGCAAGAGAGCTGCTGGCTCTAGAACGCTCTCTCTCTCTGGCTCTTGAACAAAAATTCAAGAGAGCCTGGGCCTGTAAAATTTGCAAAAAAAGTGTGCAACAAATTCGAATTTCGTTACGCATCTTTTTATTCCAATGTTTTTGCTAAATATCTTTCTTCGATCCGGAGTTGCAAGCTACATAAAATATAAGGGGCGGTGCCACGCCCACAATTTTTGGTATCATAAAAGATATTGGGTAACCCAATACAAAATAGACAAACAAACAAAGGAAGATATTTTCCTCTGTTCTGAAGTTATTCATTTTGAACAGAAAAAGTGGTCAAATTACCCATAGTGACTATTGATACGAACACAACGAATTCCATATAGTTGCCAAAAATTTAACACTTGTGTATTATTACCATTTCAGCACTTGTCTTCCAGCTAAAAGGCTGATTCTTCTTTCTATTATAGACGGGCATACGGAAAGGTGGGTAGTAATTCTGATAATAAATATACTTATATAATATAAAATATATAAAAATAAATATATAAATTATTGTTTCTTTTATCGGTTTCTTCAACCTGTTTTATACTCCTCAAAGAATCTAGTATACCCTATTAAAGTATACTCTACCAGTGACGGGTATCAAGAAAAGGAAAGCAGTCCTGCAAAGTCATCTATCACGGCAGCTGATCTTTAATTATTTGAACGATTCAATTGACACTTGTAATAGTTTATACCCGCCCCGAACTTGCCTCATTTCAAGCCGGAAACATGTGCGGCTGACAGAATGGGGATGGAAATGGGGAAAATGTGGAAAATGTGGAAGCTGTGGGGACTGTGAAAATGTGGCAATGAGGAAATGAGGAGTGAAAGGAGCCGAAGCTCTGGGGCTAGTTGGATAGATGGCTGCTGACGAGCGGACATTGATAAATCACATATGAACGGAACGGCCGTTTCGGGTTCGAGTCGGTTTCCTATGCGTTCCACTGCTGATATTTCTTTTGAGCTCATTTTTTGTAATGTTTTTGTATTGGGAGTGGGCAAAACAGCGACACTGGAAACAAAACATTCGCTAATCAAGCCAACGAAATCTCTTCCAGATTTCACACAGAACAAAATGCACGACCGGTTTGTACGATTTTCAAGATACATTTTTCTACCCACATTACAAATGAATTTTCAATATTATACTTTAAATATATATTTATCAAATCATTAAGCAACTCTATCCCTCATGTATTCTTACATTTATTAGCTTAGCTTTAAATGTGTGTATACTTCAATTTTATTATTTTCAAACTGTATTATTGATATTGAAATACTTTTATAAATACTTTTTTCAAATATAATTTTTTATAATACTATTTGATATTGTTTTGGTTTTTGTCAGTGGCACTCGCCACGGGTTTTTTGCAGCGACATCAAATTACAAACTCATTATTGTTAGCGACGACAATGGGTGCCCAAGGGTTTTTGTGGATGGGGGCTCTTCTAGCCCCCAAAGCCCCCCTTTTGCCACGTCCCGGTTTTCGTCCTGTTTTGCTGTTTGCATTTGCCGAAAAATACTTGAATGAGCTGGTCGTTGCTGGTCCTCGCGAAAAAGGGAATCCGAGTATTCGTTGACTTGATAGCAGCGAAGGGAGTACATATTTTTTTCTCTTCCTTTTTTAATACCCTCGCAGAGAGTATAATGCAGTGAGTCGGCAGTTCGCAACGCAAGTTAGTATATATTAGTATATATATATTATATTTAATATTCTCTTATATAAGTCGGAACCATTTCATATTGCCGCCATAGAGATAATCGGAATAAAAATGAATAAATCTGTGTGTATCAGTTTCTTTTCAAAGTATAATATTCTGGGCTTGATTTGATCATAATCGGACGACAAATTTACAGAAAATAATAGAAAGGAATCATTGTTACGTTGTTTTTGATCATAAAGTGTTTTAAATCGGTGTACATCAGTTCTTTTTAAATATATAATTAGAGAAAGGGAACACAAGCTTCGGCTAGCCGAAGCTAGCTTTCTATCTATTTCTGAATGATTTCCCGCAGTGTAGGCGGAGTGGGGCAGGACACGGAGTAAGGAAACCCACATCAAACTGACCAAAATGCATGGAATGCCTATGAAAAATGTAAAGCGTTGTTGCATTGTCCGACTGCAGCTGCATCGCCATCCAGTTGTGACCCCGCCCTGACCCTTAACCCCTGACCCGCAGCGCTCATTAAATGACACTCACAGGAAAGGAAGCACAGAAATTGCACGCTATAATGCACACACCCACACACACACGCTGAGGAGGGGCGTGGCGATGCATAATTTTAGTTTTGCATTGGAGGCGCTAAAAAGCCAGTGAACCCCGCATTTTCCCGCCCTCTTCGGCTAAACAGCATTTCCCCCAGCTTTTCCGTTCTTCCACGCACATACGCTACTTTGGAAAAAAGGAAAAGCAGCCAGGGAGCGGCGGAGTGAACCTGCGGATGGCCTTTGTTTTCCGCCGCCCCCAGAGCAGCCGCGCCCACTTTGTCCAGAAGTTCGCGATGTTTTTGGCGGCAGCGGAAAATTATATGCAAAATAGTGTGGCCTAAATAAATGGAAAATGCATATGAAACCATGTGTAAAATATGAGATCTGTATAATTAAAATATGGGTATATTTTTTTATGTAGAGAAGATGGCTAGTGACCAAGACCTTCGACTCAAAATGAATGCTTAATTCATTTCGACACCTTTTTAAAATACACAATATGTTCATGTCAGTGTAGTGCAGCTTCAGTGCAATTTTCCTCACATTTCTGTTTAGTTTTGTGGGGGTGGGAAATGGGCGAGGGCGGGGGGCGGAGGGGACTGGCAGTTTTTGGAGCGAGGGAATTTTCGTCTAGCGTATTTCGTTTTTCGTATTTGCGAAAAACCGTGAAAATTACATGCCGCTGACGCAGCGGCGCCGTCACTCATGACCTGCCTTTCGCCCCGTTTTCCTTTTTATTTTCCCCCAAAAACCGGGCGCCGCGGGTGGGTGGGGGGTTGGTGTGGGGGTGTTGGGGTTGAGGGTTCGTGGGGTCGAGGGAGCTTTTCCATTTTCCGGGCCCGAAGTTGTGTCGCTAACCGCAACATCGCATGTTGTAGGTGCGCCAATGACGCTGATTTTCTGTTCCGTTCCTGCTCACGCTGCACATTATTAACAGTTCCTGTGACAAAGCTGGAAAAGCGGGCGGAAAAGTGGGTGACTGGGTGGCAGTGGGTGGCGGTGGGTGGCCTGGCCACCTGTCATGTTACAGGCGAAGCTGTCGCTTCGATGTCCTTTGCCGGCCGTTCGCTGTCCAACAAAATGTTTTGTGGTTCCCGTTCCCGCTTCCCGTTCCCGATCCCGTTCCCGTTCCCGCTCCGCGATTGCCACCGCCCACCGCGAGTTCCCGCTCTACCATTTTCCGATCCTAACCGTTACCAAGTTTGTGACGCCGCCGGCTGCTGGTTGTTGTTTATTTTGGCTTCCAGAAAACCCATTCCCTGTGCGCCCGTGTGTCGGCCATTCAAGCGAAATCGAGAAAATTGCATGGCAACTGCTCTAAATTGCACTTTAAGCGGCAAGAAACTGGATCACTGGGTAGCTGGTAGTTGGTAGTTGGTAGCCGCTTTCACTTGTCCTTCGCGGAAATCCAGTACCTTTTTGAATGGGAAAGGATCTTGAGAAGCGACGTATTTGTATACAAAACCGAATTTGTTTAATTAATTAGACTTCAATTATCGGCAGTGCACGACATAATTATTTAAATTTCTCATACACATGGCAATTAAAATGAAATAACGACAGCTCAACAATTAAAACCACTGAGATAATTTTCAGATTCCGATTCGATAAAGACAACTCATCTCATTTCCATTTCGCATTCGTGGCATTCCATTTTGAAAAGTCTCACTTCTCACTTCCCAGATTGTTCAATCTGTGCACTGCAGCCACTGCAACAATCAAGCAATTTATTAATAATAAGTCGAGCAATTAGCACTGCCAGTGCCATTAGATA